GGAAATAATGAAGATTAAAACAGAGACAAATAAAACAGAGAAGAGGAAAAAACATTATCTTTTGTGCTCAGGCCAACTTGAGAAGTGACATCTCACCCATAAGTTCTTGGTTGTATATGCACATGTGTACGCATGCATGTGTGTGCACATGTGTAATTCCCCTGAAAATTATCTAAGGTGCCTGCAAACATGGCAAAAATGCAGACCGATGAATCCTGAATGTTCTGTCCCTTCTTCATCCCTCTAGGACCTTCTTTTTCCTTTTTCTTTGCACTCCCATCAAGATGGAAGAGAGACACGGGGCATGGTGGCTCACACCTGTAATCCTAGCACTCTGGGAAACCAAGGCAGGAGGATCACTTGACCTCAGGAAGTTCGAGACTACCGTGAGCAAAAGTGAGACCCCATCTCTAATTTCAAAAAAAAGAAAAGAAAAAGAAAAAGAAAGATGGAAGAGAGAAATCTGTATCTTTTATCATCCACTCTGTCAGCTTAATCCTCATGGTCAGTCCCTGGGGGGCTTGGAATGAGTGAGATTTCCGGACGCCAGCCCCCTCCTACCACCAGGACCCGAAGAATGAGGCACACAAGCATTCTGAGACGCTGACCCCCAGCCTGAGGTCACCGTTGGGACCAAGGGGTTCTTGACCACTGCTGACAAGCTCATTGTCGAAACGTGCCTCATAGAGAAGCCGTGGGTGTCTGAGATGCACCACCCTAAACAGACCATGTCCCTCTAAATATCAGTAATTTAGTCCTATAGGAGCAAGGCATTCTAGCCTGCAATCCTGGAAGTCAAAAGATTAAAAAGAGGGGGGTTAATGCCCAGTTCTTTGATCCTCATCAGTAGCTTTTCTAGGAAAAATGAGAATACTGTTTTAAGACTGGACTTTATCCAACTGTGTGGCATGCCCGTCTATGACTCAGCTACTGTACTGGTTCTTACCTAGGAGTTTACCACAAGACAGCCTGTGTTCTGTGCACGCTTTGCTGGTTGCAACAGTCACATTGTGTATGCTTCTGGAACACTCAGTGTATCAACACAACCATGTCCTCAGAAGAGGGTTAGGCAGTATGCAATTGTTTCCATGGGGTGTCTCCATCTTTAACAATTTCTTCTGGGATTATTTAATAACATTTGTCATTTCTGCAGGTGGCCTTGCACTGGAGGGAGGTCATAGTGGAACTGCTGAGTTTTGGGGTGGAATTTCAGCTTTGTCTTTCTTGTGTATGGGGACCTCTCCGTGTTCAATCTTTGTCCCTTCCGGCTGTTTCAATTGAGTTTCCTCCCCTCTTTCTCTTTCTCTGTCATTAATCAAAACATGGAATGGAATAGTTCATGGCAATTATTTTATTTTCTGGTTACGTAGAAGCCACTGGTTGTTTCTACTGTACCAGAGTTAGGGTGGCAGGAAGTGACTATCAGGGGACAAAAGGTCTTCTGGTCTCAGGCACTCTGTGGGGAAACTGAGAACCTGCCTCATACATGAGGCTGGTGTGGGGTGCAGAGTGAGAGAGTCTTTAGTCCATGTCACGAGGCTGGAGGCTAAACTTTGCACTGTACCTTCAGTCGTCCAGCCAGAGAACTTTCTGGTCACCTTCATTCTGGGCAGAAAGGGTCCGGGCATCATGATTGTTAAGCCCTGGAATTTTGTATTTCTAGACTTTGTGTGTTACAATGTGGGTACACACTGTCAACTTCATTCTGTAACCAGCTTCTCATACCTAACAACATATTCTGAACATAATTCAATATAACTAAATGTACATTGACATTATTGTTTTAATGCCTACAAATGACATTTCATACAGATTCTAATACTTACATAGCCATTGTTACTACTCTTCTGTGACAATAAATAAAAGGTACATGATAAATTCTTTTTAACAAGCTTTGAGCATTTCTCTCACGTAGGTCACTGAATTGCTGGGTTGATAAATACGCACAGTCATACAGCTTTTAGTCTATGTTGCCAAGCACCTGCTAAGAAACCAGCACTTTACAACGCCACTAGCAGAGGGTAGGATCATCCATTTCCTAAACTCTTGCCAAACTGAATATTCAATTTTTTTCATTACTTGAAAGGCACCACTATAATGCCATTAATTTAATTCATACTTCTTTGCTGATTAGAGAATGTCAATATTGTTGTCTATCTTTATAGGAAAAAAATGGAATATAAAAATCAGAATAAAAATGTAGCAAAGTAACAATTTTTTATTATTTTTAAATTTCACAATATTATGGGGGTATGAACATTTTGATAACAATGTATTTTTTAACAATTCTGAAATAAAGATTTATTCTAGGAAAGATGAGAATGTCCAGAAATGGACATGGGGAATTTTTTTCCTTACTAGACCCCTTGGTTTTAGTTTCTTATTCACACCGTTTCTATGTTAAATTGAAAGCATAAATCATTTGAATACATCATTTCAGGCTTACTAACATAACAAGCTATAAATCTCCTCTTGGGGAGATTTATATGTCATGTTCAGATTTTTTCCTTATTCTAAATAATCATTAATGGGGAGGTTAGTGTTCCTCTTTGGTCCAAGGGCAACTTGCAAATGATCTTACTTTTTTTTCTCCACTTGATCCAAGGAAAGCCCCGCCTTCAGCCCTCCCCTCGCCCGCAGCTGAGCTCCCACAGTCCCAGCCCCCTGAGCATATCTCAACTCCACCCCACAACTTACACCTGCTTTATTCGCACCTATATCCCGGTCCCGGGAACTTGCCTCTGCCCACTCAGCCCCGCCCTCTGGGCCTGGTACCGCCCACCGCCCCGCCTCCGGAACTGACCTCTGTTCAATCGACCCCGCCCACTGTGCCTAGTACCGCCCACAGCCCCGCCCCCGGAACTGGTCTCTGCCCATCAGCCCCACCCTCCAGGCCTAGTACCGTCCACACTGGTCCCCGCCCAGCGCCCGTTCCTCGGGTTGATCCTGCCCTCCGGACCGACTCAGCCTAAGGCCCAACCTTGTTCTTACTAAGAAAACTAGACTACCTCGGCCGCCCCGCTCCCTGC